CTGAACACGTAACATGAACGTGCCGGGCGGCGCGGTCCCGTGGGTTAGATGCGCGTTCATAATGCAGAGGGAAATAACTCTCAGAATAACGTTATTAGCACATTTTTACAACTTGAGGAACGAATGTTTTTAATAAGGGCTTTACAAGTGTTCATACTGGGTAGTTTATTTAGTTTAAAAAAAATTATCCAACGATTTACAGACCACTCTTTCCCCATGTAAGTCAATGGGAAAAAGTGTTTCCGGGCCTGGCAACCAAAAGGAAGTGTAGTACCGCCGTTTGGCCAGCACGAATATTTTCATCAGAGTCCGGCGCACTTCCTGGGGGCTTGGGCCCAACCAGTGGAGAAATACCCGGAAGTGCCTAGCAAATGGTCTACCGCGCCTATTGGTCGGTTTTTATTGTCAAAATGAGATGTTTTTAATTTATTTTTTAATCATCACACTTGATTTCGCCGATTTTCTTGTTGCCCTAGCTGGTTGACACCTCTTTTAGCAGAAACAAAGGCTACATTAATGTATTGAATCGATGTTAATCCATGTGTGTGGAGGTGAGGATGTGGAATTAACGGACGTGACGTTGTGTGATTGCGTTGCCAGGCAACGCAATTTACAAACTCTTCAACTACAACCCTAATTATATTTTAAAACATTTTAGAAGGCCTCACGAAATACTTTAATGTAAATTAAAATGTAAATGTGAAGGGGTGTGTGTAATGTGGTGATTGACATTATTCACCCACGGATCTATGGGTTGGGGGTATTGTTCTGCACGGACATTTTAGTTAAACGGACTTACTGTTGATGTGAAATCCGAAAAAAAATACGTTATACACCATAACGGTGCACAGCTGATATAAAAGGACTTGTCGTTTTTAAAGATATTACTGATTTTCTTTGAATATAAGAATGTAAATACTGAGTTGAGAGAATAGTCAGGGGATTTGGGTGATGGGAGACACATCTATGGATTCAGAATTTCAATAGCTTACTGTTAAATGACGGATATACCTTTCTGTCTGTGATGTTTTACAAATCAGATATTAGAAGTAAAACATGTGAAATAATATAGCAATATCCTGTACAATTATGTGAAAACATGAATAAAACTACACATCTTCAGATGTTATACATACACAAGTGTCCTACACTAATAATACAAAGTTATTATGGCTGTGTGTACCTTGTGTGCACCGCCTAGTGGTTAAAGCACGTTACTGAATTAGTTGTGTATATGATATGTCAATGATCCTTAGAAAATCTTGAAATCTTGAAAGGGATATGCAAAATAGCCATTATATACAGTCTTTAATGAACTATTAGTAGAGAATAACGAGTAATGAATATACTTTATAGGGATCTGCAGATAAATGTTTAGTCTTCTCAAGCAGCAACTATCAAATATCTCTCCTGATTGTTGGCACTTGACAATCACCTTTCCCTGAATTTTACTCAGGTGTAACTAAAGCCTGATTTAAGGGTTGTTTATATTTCACATCATTAATCAGAATCTGCAAAGTAACTCAAATAAATGTAGTGGAGTAAAAATACCAGGTTAACCTCTGAATTGTAGTGGAGTAGAATTGCTGTTTTGTTTAGTAATGGATATTGAATATGGAATAAAGGTTTTGACAAGACCTGGTGTAACAATAATCAAAAAGGACATTAAAAGAGCTCCAGATGTCAATGATCTAAACAAAACAGCACACCTGAAATGTATTAAATACTTTATTAAGGGCAGTGAATTAGTTTTTTCTGTATGTTTTTCAAATCAGTGTTATACAGTAAGTGTCATAGACAGTGTTACATTGCTATTATTATCCTTAAAATATATATAAAACAAAACCATTTATGATCTTTTTTTTTGGGTGGTTTACTAATGACAGTTAATTCTGTTTCTGCTATTGATGGTTTCATTTTTGTGAAAAATAATAAAATTCAATAACGTGCTTTAACCACTAGATGTGCCTTTCTATCAGCTGTGCACCGTTATGGTGTAAATACAGCCTATCTACCAATTGGATCAAATATAAAAGTCAGCCGAATTAGTATTGATACTGCAAGGAGACGTATTGTGTGAAAATAAATGTAAGATGTGGTTTAATTGCTGATATATTTATGATCCACGTCACGTTTTCAGTTTTGGCGGCAGTGCTTCCTGTTTGTCCAGAAGTCTTCTCATCAGGGCTCTATAAATACAGAACTACGGCAGATATGTCATATTTAATGCAGCCAAACCGTGTATTACAATGCCGGTATGTGATGACCTCCAAAGAGAAAAGCAAGCAAACTCGGAATAAAGTATTATTTTATTTTTTTTAAATGTTTTCGGATTTCACATCAACAGGAGTCCGGTTAACTAAAATGTCCGTGTGGAACAATACCCCCAACCCATAGATCCGTGGGTGAATAATGTCAATCACCACATTACACACATTAATGTGTTTAACACATTTACATTTTAATTTACATTAAAGTATTTCGTGAGGCTGTATAAAATGTTTTTAAATATAATTAGGGTTGTAGTTGAAGAGTTTGTAAATTGCGTTGCCTGGCAACGCAATCGCACAACGTCACGTCCGTTAATTCCACATCCTCACCTCCACACACACGGATTAACATCGATTTAATACATTAATGTAGCCTTTGTTTCTGCTAAAAGAGGTGTCGACCAGCTAGGGCAACAAGAAAATCGGCAAAATCGAGTGTGACGATTAAAAAATAAATTAAAAACATCTAATTTTGACAATAAAAACCGACCAATAGGCGCGATAGACCATTTGCTAGGCACTTCCGGGTATTTCTCCACTGGTTGGGCCATGTTAACAATACTGTGTAACTGTCACGTTTGAAGGGACGAAACCGTGACATATTCACGTCTCCCAGCATGGTAGATCGTCACATGTTCACGTCTTGCCGTGATACCGGGTTGTATAATTGTGCAGTACATTTTATTTGGAATGCTGATACAGCATTCCAACTAAATTATACATACTACATTTTTCAGACCTTGGTAAACAGGCCTTCCTCAGATTTTAACATTAGTGTGTATTGCGCAGTATTTTGAGATTTCTTCAAATGCTGTTGCCATGGCAACACAATGCTCACCATGAAACACGGTTTTCTCATAACTTCAGTAAAAATGCTCCAAACGGCCCAAAACTTCACAGGTTTGGTAACGATGCAGCCATCAACACATCTAAGCGTATTATGGGGTGTCATCAAATGCCGTTGCCATGGCGACAGATCATCCGCCATCAAGTTAGTTCAAAAGTTTGCAGTTCAAATATTCTGCTTCTTTTCCAAGCCTTTTTACTTTATTTTCTTCTCTTATCACACATTCAAGCCCCCAGTGTTCATGTATCATTTCAATCTAAATTCTTCACTTTCTTCTTACACATTACATTTCAGCATAGCAGTTTAGTGTCAGCTTTTCAGCATAAAGCATTCCCACTAGCAAGTTCTTCAGGAATTGCATTCTCTAGTTGCTCATGTTACTTTGCAACCAATATAGAGTGTCCTCAAAGTCAATGTAACTCACTGACGAGGAAATCCAATGTGACAGACGTGCATTCACCGCTGGGCTAATCACATTTCACATGTCTTCCCCGGATGATGGGAACTATTAGCTTGGACCAAAGCAACCTTGTATTAGTGTGAATGCTGTGCAATTGTGCACTAATACTTTTATAATTTTCGAATCATAAATCTAATCGATAGATTTATGATCGATAGATTTATGATTAGAAAAATGGCCTTCTTAATGTGTTTGAGACCATCAGTTGTGTTGTGCAGAGGTAGGGTTAGTGCACAGTGGAAAGCCCTATTTGAATACTGTTGTAATCCATATTATGGCAAGAACGACTCAACTCAGTGAAGAGAGTCCATCATCACTTTAAGAAATGAAGGCCAGTCGATCCGGAAAATGTAAAGAACTTTGAATGTATCCTCAAGTGCAGTCGCAAAAACCATCAAACGCTATGACTCTCATGAGGACCCCGCCGGGAAAGGAAGACCAAGAGACACCTCTGCTGCAGAGGATAAATACATCAGAGTTACCAGCCTCAGAAACTGCAAATTAAAGCACCTCAGATTAGAGCCCACATAAACGATCACAGAGCTCAAGGAGCAGACAGTCTCAACATCCACTGTTCAGAGGAGACTGTGTGAATCAGGCCTTCATCGTCCAATTGCTGCAAAGAAGCCACTACTGAGGATGAACAACAAGAAGAAGATAATTGTTTGGGCCAAGAAACACAAGGATTGGACATTAGACAGTGCAAACTTTTGACTGGTAGTGTATAGAATATCTTTACTCATATCTGTATACATTCAGATATTCAGCTGTCCAGTGTTTTACCTCATGTCATGTTATAGTTGTTATTTCTATCAACTGTTACTTCTATGTTTACTCTTATGTATTCTTATTATCCCTGTGCGAACTCTGTACCAACCTGTGTTTCACTCTTATTCTTTTGATGCTTTAACACCTGAATTGCCCTATGGGTTTCAAAAACGTTTCTTACCTTAGGAGGTTTTTGCGTTTTTTTCTTCTTTTTTTACCTGTGGACAGTTCAGCCTTCATGAATCCAGAATGTTGTATTGTCCACAAATATAAACATAAATGCTCAAAAAGTATTGCATGGTGTTCATGATGATGTAGTATGTTATTTTTTTGGCCACAGCTGACGTTAAATTGACAGAACTTTTTTCTGAATATTGGATTGACTGGAAATGGTCCTTCAGTATAGTCAGAGCCTCCTTAGCAATGTTCTACTTTAAAAAAAAAAAAACAGATGCTATTGTCGAAATTGACCAATAAGAATAAAGTATTGAACTAAGCTGTGAAATAAGGAGACTGTAATGTCTCTCATAGTAGTGAGTGGAAATGAACACTATTTCCCAATTACTTTGAAGGTTCTCAAATAATGAGAAAACGATCAAATAACAGTACCATCACCGGTTTATGAAAAATGTAGAAAACAAGAAATAAAGAGGCATTGAGCTTTCAGTTATGCTTTAATTGATTGGATTGCTGGTCAGCTTTAGCATCATAGTGCAGAGAGAGAAATACATGTTCAGGACAGACTGGTGTTGAACCGAAATATTGCTTAGCAGGGTGAATCAGTTTATTGATTAAATATTAAAGTGAATCAGAAGTGTCGATAAATCTTCAAAACAGTGATGTCATCGAGGCCTGACATCCTGCTAGAAGTGACATCCTGACTGAAGATGTGACATCATCATTAGTAGGAGGAGGAACAGACAAAATTGATCTTGTCGCGACAATCTGCGTCGTTGACAGAGTCTCCACCTGTAGACAAAGACAACACAAAACGTATGAGATTTATATGATGAATATAATAAAACACAAGCAAAGATGTATTGTAATGTCATGTTTTTAGTAAGCACTTTAAAAGGAATGATTAGCTTTATTTTATAATTCTCCTTAAAAGATTGTACGATGAATAAAGAGGACAACACATAACTGCGTATTTTTTACCTCTAAAGTTCATCTCCATACAGTCTTCCTTTCCATGATAGTTGTTTGGCTCCCCGCTGCGCCAGTGATTGAAGCTAAACCTAGAGCCATCGCTCCACATCCACCATCCCTCCTGAGAGAAAAAACATTAAAAGTAATTTTCTGACTGATGTCTTCCTCTCAGGCTGAATAAACCAAAGGACAAGATAGCCTGTATGTAGCCTGAGATGCAAAACCCAGGGCCAAAAAGCTCACAAGAAAAAGCTCTCATTGGTTTTGGTGCTAGTGAACAGTAAGAACAATTTTTTCATTAAAAAGTCTAAGGGCATTAAACGGTAAGTGACATGCGCCACATGCCCCCACTTTATTATCAGCCGTCTGCCTGAAGTTTTGAGATTAAAAAAGGTGGCTTATTGTTGGTTTCCCAAGCTTTATGTTGTAAAAGTATTTCTTATAATGGAGTTTACAGGCACAATTAAGTAAATAATCTGAGGGTGGTAGTCAAGCCATTTCAATCCATTGTTTATTTAAATATACAAACTAGCAGAGATTGGAATAAAATAACATTGTTGCAGTGCTTATATCTTTGATACAACAAAATAATACATAAATCACTCACCCAAATACCATCATTGCCTCCAACCCAAACATTTCGATTTGTGCCTGTAGCGCTTCTCACCAACTGTCTGATATGGTAGTACTCGCTGGTCGATCGGATAGAAGCCAGATTCCCTCCGAGGCCAATGCAATGTCTCTATGGTGGGGAAACAAAGTCAGTCCTTTTTGGGAATATGCCAAACATTAAGTGTGCCAGTTACTGCAATATGGTTGTCATTTTGAGAACCTCAGCAGTAGCCCAGTTCATTTCATAATGCCTGAAGATGAAACAGCGACAATCATACCGAGTCCAACCATGGCGGCAGCTCCCAGAGCAATCTGGAATTGTCATCAAATTAATACTTAATTAATTTAGTGAGCAACAGAAGCAATGCATGCAGTATACATATGCTGTCCAATAGGATGCCATCTTAATTTGGCTGCAGTCAAAAATTGTTGGATGCTGTATTTTGACTCTATTATTAAAATAACAACTAACCTCTTTTTGCCTGTGGATGTAAAGAACACATTATTAGGAATGACCAGGTTACGATTCATAGTTGAGCCATTGAACAATGATCTTAATAAATGTAGTCTATTATTTTGTATAAATTACTTCCGTATTTTCTTTAGCTACGCATAACAAACATTACTTACCTCTGCCTCCATCCACAGTCCACTGGTCAAACAGAGGAGCACGATGCAGTAGACAACAGATGCCATCTGTGTAAGGATCAGACATTTACAGTACCTTGATTAAATGTAACTTTTATTACCAGAGTTCCCCTTGCAGCAGTCACAACTTCATAAAGTAGAATTGAATTTGTATCCTTAATTAATTATATACAAGGTGTAGAGTCTAGCTTTTAAAAGTTTTTATTTTAAAAACAAACTAAAGAACTAAACCCTCACCTTGCTGTGATGATCAGATGAAGTAGTACTTGCAGCTGGAGCAGATGAGTCGTGATAGTCATGGAAGGGTTAGGGTTCTTTATATACCTAGTCTAGACGGTATACACTTACACTTGACATAACAAATTACATATTGACACATCCTTGATGAAATATTAGACTTATTTGTTTAGCTGTAGCTACAGTAATTTAAACTGTGCAAGGCTAGATTATTTAGATAGCTTATTTCAACACAGACAAAAACACGAGAAGCATTAAGATAAACTGCAGCAGAAACACATTGTAAAATGACATTTAAATATATTTAAAAACAGTCATGAAAAAGCCAAGTGATTAAAATAAAAATATAACCAGCTTAAAATAATACAACTATACAATCCAAAAATAAGAATAACAATTGAGTTTAAGATATGAATAGGTTATTTCACGAAAAGCAGTGGCAAAAAACAATAGTCTTCAGCCTGGATTTTAAAAGAAGTGAGAGTTGCAGCTGACCTGCAGTTTTCAGAGAGTTTGTTCCAGATATATCAATCAATCAATCACGTTTATTTACAAAGCACATTTAAAAACAACCCACGCTGACCAAAGTGCTGTACAGAACAGAGCAGGTAGCCAACACAACCTTTCATAAAATAAATAATTAAAAGAAACACTGGTGTAAACATTAATACACACAGCTCATATGAACAAACAAACAAATACATAGGCATAGGCACTATCAGCCAAATAGGGAGTCAAACGCTAGGGAATAAAAGTATGTTTTAGCCTGGATTTTAAGCAGTCAATAGAGGGGTCCGATCTGATAGGGAGGGGGATGCTGCTCACAGACTTGGGGCTGCAAAAGAAAAGGCACGGTCGCCCCTGAGTTTACGTTTGGAGCGTGGGACAACCTGGAGCCCCATGTTAGCCGACCTGAGGAACCTGGAGCTAGAATGCGGGATTAAGAGGTCTGCAACATAGGAAGGGCCCTGCCCATTTAGGGCTTTATACACAAACCGGAGAAGTTTCAAATCAATCCTGAAGCACACTGGCAGCCAGTGGAGAGAGGCCAGAATGGGGGTAATATCGACCTGTTAGTCAAACTTAAAGGCAGATTCAAATATCACACCAAGATTTTTGACATGGGGTTTGACAAGGGCGGACAGGTTCCCAAGGCTTTTGGTAAATGCTTTGAATGAGTCAGGGGGGCCGAAAAGGACGACTTGCTTTAATTTAGCTGCAAATAGTTTTGTGCCATCCATCCCTTAATGTCCTCAATGCAGGTAATGAGATTCTTAAGATTGGATTGATCTTTTGGTTTCAGGGGGGGATAAAGCTGTGTGTCATCCGCATAACAGTGGAAGGAAATATTGTAATGTGAATGATTTAGCCAAGAGGAAGCATGTAAATAGAGAACATAATTGGACCTAGGATGGAGCCTTGTGGGACACCGCAGGGGAGACTAGCAGGGGGTGAAGAAAAAAGTGCCCACGTTGACGGAGAAGCTTCTGTTTTGGAGGTAGGATGTGAACCAGTCTAAAGGCCCCTACACACCAGGCAGTCACCAGAGAACTCGCCGACATCCGACACCGACAGATCCATCGACGAGTTCTCCTGCGTCTTGGCCGTGTGTACACCGTTTTACTTCAGCCGAGCACGTACGAACTGCGCATGCGTGAGTGGCAATAACTCTCCTTACCAGCAGGCGGCGGTAGTGTGTATTCGTCATTCAAAATAGGCAACAACCGGAAGACAGAGAAGAAGAACAGACTGATATAAACAAACAAATAGCATGTGCGTTCCATCGAAAACATGTTTTAGAATATAAAAATACATGAATGATGAAATGAGCACATAAAGTGCAGACATACTATAAAATCACAGTTAATAGACCTGCATCTGATGATCGCAGTGTTCTGGCGGGTGTGTAGTTTATTGAGTCAGCAATGTAATAATGGCCACTTCTTGCTAAATTTACGATGAGATGAAAAACCGGACTTGACCAAACAAATCACGGAGCTCTCAGGCAGAGGACAGCCGGGGACGCTCCCGCCGATATCAGAGATGTCCCTGCTATGTGTGGGAGGTAAGAGAGGACATTTAAGGGCTATGTTTGATGTCTTTAAGTATCACCTGCTGGTGTTTAGCTGCTGTCTTGTGCCTTTTTAAATCGTTTGTTTACGTCCCTCACTTCCGTTTCGCTTCTCATTTGCTAGCTGAATAGCTGATCAGAGTGGTTTCTTGGCCGATAGCTTGTGTCCGACACCCGGCCGATTCAACATGTTGAATCGGCCGGGTGTCGATCGTGAAAGGCCAAATAAGGCGTGTCACGGCCGAGGGTTCGGGACACACCAAATTGATTTTGGGCGACAAGGAACCCGTTTTCGCCCAACAACGCAAGACGGCCGATATCGGCCTGGTGTGTAGGGGCCTTAAGGCAGTGCCATCAACACCAGCCTCGTAGTGGAGACAGTGTATTAAGATGTCATGATCCACTGTATCGAACGCCGCGCTGAGGTCAAGAAGAATCAGGATAGCACAGTCACCGGAGTCAGCAGAGAGGAGCAGGTCATTATACACTTATATATACTTATACAAGGCAGACTCTGTGAGAGGGTGGGGCATAAAACCTTACTGAAATATTTCCAATATTACAGTAGGGCTGTAATTGAGTGAAAACAACTTTTTAATAGTCTTTGAGAGGAATGGAAGTTTAGATATAGGTCGGTAGTTACTAAGCAGGGTGGGGTCTAGATTGTTTTTTTCTTAAGAGGGGGTTGACTATTGCATGCTTGAAGCAGGTTGGAAAGGTACCAGTTGCCAGAGAGCTGTTGATAATGGAGAGGATGCTGGGGCCGGTAGTGTCAAAGACATCCTTCAGGAGGGCAGTGGGGACACTAGAGGCCAGGTTGAAGGTTTCACGGTGGCAACAATCTTTGTAAGGGAGGGTAGTGTGATGGGTTGAAAGCAGTCCAGTTTCGAAGAACGGACTAGCGAGATGGCTAGGTCACGGATGACAGAGTTAATAGTACTGAATAGCATTAACTTGATATTTTAGGAGTTGTTTGAAATTAGATTGGAAAAGTATTTTACTCTTGCAGCCTTAACTGCTCCCTGGTATTTGAGAAGATACACTTACACTTGACATAACAAATTACATATTGACACATCCTTGATGAAATATTAGACTCTTTTCATAAGAAATGTTAGTTTATTTTTTGGACCAGGTTATTTGTTTTGCTGTAGCTACAGTAATTTAAACTGTGCAAGGCTAGATTATTTAGATAGCTTATTTCAACACAGCCCTGAGCCTGTTTTTCAGGTTTCAGGCTCGAAAATGCCACTAACACAACAAAGACTATATCTTCACTTCTAAAAGGGGTAAATTAATAATCTTTTCTCTCAAAGAAAGGTTACATCTGTGAGTTGGATGTAGAAGTGTCAGAATCAATATAGATGTTTTCATATGGAACATAGTAGAAACATGTAAATTCTAATCTTCGCCTAAAAAAAACCCATTACTTATAGTGAAAACCACCCTTGAATGATGGGTTAGTAGACTAAAAGCTTTAGGAATCCAAATTATAAAATATAATAAGTACCCTGTATCAAGATTGATGCAAAACAAGTGAAATTTGACCTTTTCAGAGAGGTTTAGAAAAATAAAGTCCAGGCGGACTCACCGGTAATTTGGGAACCATCAGTTCCATTTGACCTTTTTTACTGTAAAAATCATTTTATTACTTTGAATTATCACTATAGGTATTCATTCCATCCAAATACAACTGTTGTAAAAAAATATTTTAAAAAAACATACAAAATGAAGTTTGACTCCAATTGGAGCAGATTTATTTCAAAGATTTTACAGATTTATTTCAAACATTTTACAGATTTATTTCAAACATTTTACAAACACACTATACAATAAAACCACACTCTAGATAGGTAGACTTTATACTTACCTACTGAATGTTACAATATTTTGGCATGCCACTCCTGGTAACAATTATTTTTGATATTCAAGCACAGAGGGACCTGGCACTTCACGCAGTGCCAAGGTGTCTTCACCCTCTTTTTGCCAGCATCATGGCAGTTCCTGCAGTACTTCCTGATACGGACATCTTGCCCATAAAACATGGGCCCGCATGTGAGTGGTGGTGGGGGGGGGGTGTGGTGGAGGTGCAGAGCCTTCAGCAGATTCCAACATTTCTGCAGCAAGCTGCTCCCTGAAAGTCTTCTGTGTGTGTGGCTTTGTCCTGCTGGGGTCACTCTTCATCTTGTACAGCTCCTTGTGAAGAAGGAAGCTGTTCACAACTGCAATGTCCATAAAATGGTAAAAAAAAGTCTTGTACCATTTCATCGTTGTGTGGAGAACGCTGTAGTACCTGATCAAAGCGTCAGACACATCCACGCCGCCCATGCTTCGGTTGTAGTCCAACACAGCGTCAGGAACGGGAACAGTCTTTGTCTGCCACACACCAGCCTGGAAGTTATATGGCCATTTCTTCCTCCAGTAGTCCGATCGGTTGTGAACGGTGACGAGGCCTGAGAAAATTATAATAAGTTGAGGAATGTGAGGGTGAGGCAGGTGTGGGCTGGGTGAAAGTAGACAATGGTGAAGCCATTTCATCCTCATCTCCATCACTATGAAAACAAATGTGGAAAAACAAAGAGATTAGATTAATTCCTGTAATTCCTGTTTCCTTGGCAGTAAACATGCCATTTTGAGTGTGTGAATGCAATACATTTAGTGACTATAGATAAACACTGGCCTATACTTTTAGTAAATGTAACAGACAAGAAACACTCTTTTTGTAAATAATCCCTCTAATTCCTGCCAAACATGCCATTTTGAGCGTACATTACATTACATTACATTACATTACATTACATTACATTACATTACATTACATTACATTTAGCAGACGCTTTTATTTACTATATGAATAATCGTACACCAAATAAATAAGTAATAGATAAAAACAGAGAGATTACATACCTTTCCCGTGGTGGAATTTCATCATCAGAGTCACAACTCGCCGGGTTCCGTTCTGGCTGCAGGAGATCCTCGTCGTCTAACTCAGAATCAACAGGTAACATATCTGCATCGCTG